AATGATTCGCGCAGGACTGGAAGGTAAAAGGATCAATCTGTAATTATTTAACCACTCGAGTAGAATTGCGTTTGTTTCAGTCAAATTTTTAGTGAATGCTCGTTGGTTCACTTAGCTATTATGGTTGAATGAACCGTTGCTTAGTCGAATCCAATTATTTGAACCTAAACTTCCGCTATATGAAACGAAAAACTACCAACAAGAGGGGAGGATCAGTGAACTCTTATTATACGATATATAACTTCTATTATAATATAAAATGGAATTGTATTGTATTGTACGTAAAAATATTGTGTAATATTTTTAGCAAGACTATGAACCTTTTAGAAAGCAGAGTTGATCAATCTGGCTTCTGACGTGACTCAATCCGTTCGATGTTTTTAATTACAAATTGTACCGGTGTGTTCCTTCTTCCACCTACATTCGATCATACCTCTTTCTCACTTCGCGTCCATTGAACTCGTTACTTACGAGAGTGTAGCTGACCTTTAACTATCGCGGGACGTCGCGGCATTGGTATTACGACGAGGCAAACATTCAAATCTTTGCCAGTAAACTGAACTGTGAAATTCAATCAACGCCATGCGGCGTGCAACTAGGTTCTAAAGTGCGCCGAGCCGAGAGGGCTACCACTTCACGAGAAACTTCTGCCGGAATATCTTCGAGAACTCGGATACAGCACGCACATCGTGGGCAAATGGCATCTGGGATTCTACACGAAAGAATACACGCCGACTTACAGGGGATTCGACTCGCACCTCGGCCTCTGGAGCGGCCACCATGATTATTTCGACCATAGCGCCGTGGAAAGCGTAAGCATTTCATTTAATTTCCAGCGGTTACGTACCTTTGCGAAATAAGGAAAATTCAAGAATTCTTTTGGAGATGAAATTATAGATTCATGATACAAACAAATATAATATACTAGTTGCAGACATAATATGTACATCAATTAGCATAATATTGTAGTAATTGCTAAAAATTTGAACTAGATGTACGAAGGTAGATGGTCGTTTATGGTCGTCTAAATTTTACATTAAATACTTGTTGATTTAAAAAAAGGAATGAATATAAGTGAACTCGAGTGTGTAATTCTCTTCGTTATAAATTTTCAATTTCCCAAACATAAAATTTAATTAAAAAAAAAGAATGAAAAGATCAACATCTCGCTATTAGATACAATAGTCTTGAGAATATCATCATAAATTTTTATCCAAATTGATTTTGCAGTCTTTCAGATGTTTCTGGTACCTGGTATTTTAATTGTCTGTTGTCATTGGATGACAAACTCTCTAAATTAATTATTTTCCAGAATAAGAGTATTTCTAGAAGAATCGTGATAACATATATAGTTTCTGAAAAATCAATTTTTTTTGACCTTCATCGAATGTATGCAACCCCTTGAATCGACTTGAATCAACTCTTCAGCGACTGCGAAAAGAATACTTGCAATCTTTCAATTCTACTGAAAATCGAAAACGTAGCCATATTGGGGATTGGACATGAGGAGGGGGCTGGATGCAGCCTGGGATCTCCACGGTCAATATTCCACGGATATTTTCACGAAGGAGGCAGTGAGACTGATCGATAATCACAACACCAGCCGTCCAATGTTCCTCTATCTAGCTCACGCGGCTGTACACTCTGGCAATCCTTACAACCCTCTGCCAGCGCCTGACCAAGATGTCTCCAAGTTCACCACTATCTTCAACTACGATCGCAGACGATTCGCTGGTTCGTAAAAATTTATAAAAATTCACACACAAATCGTTTGCTTTGACTACATTGATCGTTCGGCTGTCAACGAGCTCGTTTCAGGTATGCTGAGCAAGCTGGACGAATCGGTTGGCCACGTGGTCGAGGCGCTTCGCAAGAGGGATATGTTGAAGGACAGCATAATCGTGTTCTCCACGGATAATGGCGGGCCACCGGCCGGTTTCAACTTGAACGCCGCTTCGAATTGGCCACTGAGG